CCTAATACACATTGCTAGTTAAATATATACCTTCTGTGAATTACTTTCAAAAAGATTCATGACAAAAAAGGTTGGGCTTACACATGTTGCAACTGCTCCAATGTTGTGTATAGAGTTGTTATGGGATCAGATAAAGGAACTGACTCCACACCATTTCACAAGGTTTCCAAATGTCATTTAAACATATATTTTTACACCCTTCCTGAACTCCAGCAGCAATATTTTAGACTCCATTTCCGCAAATGTACTGATGATCAATTAGTAAAATCATGATTTATTTGGGGTTTGAAAGAAATAAGAGAGCTGCATTAATGTGTTTATAACTTGGAAGCTACTTCACTTAAATAAGATGATCTCCTCTTTATCAAATGACAAACAGAGCTATCTATTTTCAAGGCTTGGTAGTGGAAATGTAATGTGGGTGCATCAATAAACCTTCAAATTGAGTGAAGGTATCAATTGCGCTGCACCTGGATCACAGCGAGAACATTCTCTGTGTGTGGATATTGTTTAGATCTCATGTGGCGACAAATAATCCATCTGTCTGCCTCCCTCCCAACCCTTCTCCCCATGGAAGGACTGCCACCTGTTCAATAACAAAAGCAAAATCGATAAGATGCCAGTGCTCTGCGGGACTTCACTCAGCTGGGCAGAGGTCGATGAACGGCTTTGAAATGACAATCATGCACTGAGAAGATGCTCTCAAGATGCACTTTATAACCTTTATCAAACTGCAAGTAGGATTGCAGTTTAAATAGATAGGTGTGTTTGTCTACAAACCTTATCTACAAATCTCTTTACGCCCTGGCAACTCGCTTGCTACCTTTCCAACCCGCTTTCCCCCCACCTCCAACAACTTCCATTTATAGAGTCCCCTTGACGCAGTGAGACCCAGTATTATGTCAAATAATTGTCTTTCCATGATTGAACTTCTAGCCAATGGTTGAGGGGACGAGGACGCAGGTACCTCCAATACCTGCGTCCTCGTCCCCTCAACCATTGGCTAGAAGTTCAATCATGGAAAGACAATTATTTGACATAATACTGGGTCTCGCTGGAGCAAGAGTTAGCCAAAGAGTGGTACACTTCCAGCTTCTTGTGAACAAGAGTGTTCTGCACAGGAAGCTGGTGGGTCAACTGACCTGACAACCTGGAACAGGTGTGTGACCAGCAGCCACTTCTCTCTCTCCCCCAATCCCTTCGCCTTGCCCCCTTCTGGCCCTCTTTTAGATCACAACTGAAGACCTTCCTCTTTGCCCATGCTTAAGCGCTTTAGGCGCTGCGTTAAGGGGACTCTATAAATGCAAGTTGTTGTTAAATAGTCATGTGGTATTTTCCTTCCATTGCCACCTTCAGATGAACAAATTGCGGAATTGATACAAATCATTTTCTTGAAATATTCAGAGCTTTAAGAGGCCATCACATATCAGCTTCGATATGATTAAAATGATACGATGGTGAAAATGATAAAGTGATGTGTTCATTGTCACAGTGCTGATAAATCAACAAGACCAGCTAATAAACAAGATTGTTGCTGTCAAAAGTACTGACCATAATTGTAGGCCAAAGTGGCAGCCAATTTGCACACAGCAGGACACTACAAACAGCTGTGAAATGAATAACCAATTTTATCTGGATGATTGTTGGCCAAGATATAGGGAGAAGTATCCTGGATACTGTCTCCACTCATCTCCTACCCAGAAAATGCGTGCTGAGGGGGAGGGGGGTCGTGGTGCTGTGGTGATAGTGGTGGGGTGGGGGAGGAAAGAAGGGGGAGGTGGAAGGTGGGTGCAATCAAATAGGTAGGTTTCTTGGCTTTTGAAGATAAGGTGGTGATGAAACGGTGAGGTGAGGGGAAACGAGGTCCAAGTTTGCCAAACAGTGGGTGGGTTGGGAGGTGGGGGCGGTATAGGGGGAAGCAAGTAGAGGAAGGCTGGAGAAGACCACAGAGATAGGGAGGAGTGAGGGAATGAAGCGGTTTCTAAGTGAGAAACATTGAATCTGTTGGGTAGCCAATGGAGCCTGGCGAGGAAGGGCGTGATGGACCTGCAAAGTGTCATGCTGGTAATGATGGAAGGATGCAGGAGGCTGAGTTTTGGATGAGCTGGTGCCTGGGGATGGTGGAGCTACAGAAGTGTATGGGAAGTACTGAGCTGAACGTGGTTGTTGAATACAATGTCGCCTATTGTTGGTTATGTTCTACTTTTACTCGCCAATGCCTTTCAGAAAAAATAAAGGTCAATTGTTTTGAAGGCTGACAACATCAGCTTGACAGGTCTCATTTCGTTCAGTGTTACAGCTCTGGCACTTTTCCTATTTCATCACTGGACCTGTGGCAGCTCTGGGGCATTCTGTGCTCCCAGGAATTCAAAAGGCGTGTTTTTAATTTTTAAAAAAATTAAATCCAAGCCCTGTGATGGTTAAAATATCCCTGGTTACAGTAATAAGATCAATCTCAACCTGGAGCCAAGACCCACCTCACTGTCCAGAGTCAGGACACATAATAGCAATAATAATCCTTGCATTTGATATATCGCCTTATCACATCTTCTAGAACGTCTCAAAGAGCTTCACAGAATATACTGTAAAGTGAATTGACTGTATATTTTGTGGGCGAAACACGGCAGCCAAATGTGCACAGCAGTGTCCCACAAACAGCCGTGGATTGAGTGATCAATTTATTATTATTATTTTTTGAAGGAATTATTACTCCCGGAAAAGCAATCCGCCAATCGACTAACAACCGTGTTCCTACTTACTGCTGGGTAAACAACAGTGTGTGGAGTAAGGAAACTTGCCCAACATTTCGCCCTGCCGGCATATCTCCTTGTCTACCATGGAGCTGGGATCCGAGTGACTACCCACTCCAGAACTGGACCATTTTCAAAGGCCACTTTTCTCCCTACAAATTAACTGCACTGATATTCGCTTGAGTAATGTAAGCAACTCAACCAAGTCAACCCTCTGATGTTTTTTCCGGTCTAACTCTGTGCCCTTTTAAACAACAGTCCACACAGGCAGTGGAAACTAAACTTCTCCATTCGCAGCACTAAGGCAGCTAACTGACAACTAAAAGAGACCATCTGACATGAATAAATGTTCAACGGCTTTAGTGTGTCAGTTGGTAGCATTCTTGGTTTTGAACCAAAATCTTCTGGGTTCAAACTCCACATTGGGACTCACAATCTAAGATGACACTCCAATACAGTGCTGGGAGTGTGTAATAATAATAATAATCCTTGCATTTGATATAGCGCTTTTCACGTCTTCTAGACATCCCAAAGCGCTTCACAGAATATACTGTAAAGCGAATTGACTGTATATTTGTGGGTGAACGCGGCAGCCAATTGCGCACAGCAATGTCCCACAAACAGTCATGGATTGAAAATGACCAATTTATTATTGTTTTTTTTGGAGGGATTATTATTAGGCTCTGTGTGGAGTAAGGAAACTTGCCCAAGGTTTCGCCCTCTGCCTGGAGTTGAACTCAGGTCTCTCACTTGCAGCGAGTGCTCTAACCACTGAGCTACAGAACTCCACTGAGTAGCACTGTTGGGAGGAGTGATGTTTACAGGGAGCATTTTTAAACAACCTGTGGCTTTAATAATATTTGTAAGTGGAGATTTGTGTTTATGCCACTTTGCTCAGCTCTCAATAAGTGCTATTTTTGGAGCAGGAAATAGCAGTTAAAGCTTCACTTCCAGCCATATCAACTCCGCACATTCTTTCCCTAACAATTCACTATTCTTTAAATGTGCACACGGTTCTTTTCCCACCATTCTAAACAATGGTGTCTGATATTCGATGCTGAATATTTTAATAATATAACTTTGTGCATTGTGACAGAGGAACATGGAGTTCCCATGTATATTCCATATTTTTTTAAATACAAGAAGGCGGAAAGCATCCTGTAGGAGTCGTCGTAAAATATTGCCTTTCAAACTAATTTAGTTTAGTCAAAGTGGGGTATGGTTTTGCATTTCATTTATAATAAGAAAAGCACACACTGCTATGTTGGCCTACAAATTAGTCACAACACTTTGCAGTAAATCTTGTGAAGCTCTTTGAGATCTCCTCCTCACATGAATTCCACTGTATCAAATGCGAGTTCTTCTTCAATATTATTTACACAGTTTGCAAGCTGAATTAATTATGGAGTAAGGAGCAGGTTCCCAAAATAGAGTTCCAGAGGGTGGGGGCAGAGTGGCAGAAGGTAAGGGGGGCTCACTTATGGTAGGGCAGACGAGGCGGGGACGTGAAGCAGGCCTGTTGAGCGGAGGGAGCGGGCAGGTTGGTAGGGGATTAGGAGGTCACAGAGGTAGGAGGGAGCAAGGCCATGGTCGGTTTCAAAGGTAAAGAACAGGATCTTGAACTGTTTGGGACGTCCTCCCAACGTGAAAGGTGCTCTATAAACGTCATTTGTTGTATCCTCTGAATGATGGGAAGCCAATGGAATCAGTCGAGGATGGGGTGATAGGGTTGCGGAGCTGGTGCGGGAAAGGACATAGGCGGCAGAGTTCTGGATGATTTACAGCCTATGGAGAAACTTCATGACAATCCCAATTTAGCATTATGTGAGTATGTGGCAATCCCAATCCTAAAATCCCTCACCCGTTCCCGCCTCCGTGACCTCTCCAGGTAACCTCTCCTCTCGGCAAACTCGGAGCTAATGCATATTCCACCATCAGCAGCCGAACTTTCAGCCACTACACCTCTTGACCATGTCTAAGGTCACACCCGCCCCCTTGGTGTCTGACACTGTCTTCGTAAAACTACCCTACGTGAAAGGCACATTGTTGATGAATATTTTTGCCTCCATGGGCTGAGGAGCATTTTCAACAGTTTTTGGTTCATCAATAAATCCTCACTTTTAACCATTCAGCTACCATGAAACCCTATATTATTTGTTAAGGGTTCCCAGTATAAAGATACAACAAAAAGATCACTATTCTGAAATGATCAGTGCAAAATAGACCAAAGGAAATAAATTGGAATCTCACCTGCTATAGATAGAATGGCATCAAAACATTGATCTCGATAAGGTAAATGGAGGCCATTACACACCATTACTTCATAGTCCTGTTCCTTTGCAGATTTTACCAGGGGCAGACAGTAATCACAACCTACTTTGTAGGCCTGATTGTTGATATTGAGGTATTTCCCATTTCCACAGCCTAAATTAAGAAAATATTTATTTGTTAGAAGCATAACATTGTACTAACTCCAACACTGTATGACATTACTTTGTCGTGGCAAGGAGAAGTGAAGAGGGAAAGATTAAAACACGCGATTGGACAATACAGTGAAATTCACAATTCATTGTAAATCATCATCAGCAATGTACTGTACAAGTGACCACTGGGTATTCTAACCAGGGAGGAAGTTTTCAATTGAAAAAAAATCCTTGCAGTCTATATAGCTAGGAAGACATCTCAAAACACTTCACAGGATTTACTGTGAAGTGCAATAACTGTATTTTCTATGCAAAATCAACATATACCATTAAGAGTAAATGCCTTAAATAATAGATTCTGCATAGATTTTTATTTTACATGAGAGAACAGCAATGAGTAGCTGGAAGCTTGGAGAGGATAGAACAATTCTTGTAATGGAAGTAGTGATTGCATGATTGATGGCATGGAAAAAGGACAGAAATGAGAAATTCCACCTGTGGGTTAGATTATAAACCTTGAGAGTATGTGATTATAAACAGGAGAAATCCCATTACAAGCACTTTCCACCATCACTGGTAAATTTGCTGGACAACAGAATTTTATAGATGGATATATAGCAGAGTGAATGTTCTAATTCCTAACCTGGGGAAGCAATCAATTGTAGTGCCCCAACTGCAAATGTAGGTACCTGTAAGATACTGTGTGTCAGGCTGGCTCAGGTGGTATCACTCATGCCTGTAAGTCAGAATGTTGTGGGTTTATAATCACATACATTGAAATTTCGATTTCGATGCAGTGCTGGAGTGGAGGTGTGTTGCATTGTTGAATGTGTCATCCTTCGGATCAAACAAGGTTAGTTAGGCCAGGATCCCATCTGCCTGTTCAGGCGGACGTTAAACATTCCACTGCAAAATTCAAAAAGAGAACGAAGTTTCTCCTGGTGTCCCATGCAATAATTCCCCAAAATAAAGTTGGTTATTCGTTTCATGGCTGTTTACGGGACTTGCTCTGCGTAATTGGGCTGCTGCATTTTTCCTACAAATACACAATCTCCACTTCACAGTAATCCTGGGAAGTGCTTTGAGATATCCTCCCGACATGAAGGACTATACCAAATGCAAGGATTATATATGTCTGCAATAGACAGGGCAACCTGTAATAGTGTGGTCCTTCAAGTCCAAACCGCAGACACTGCATTAAAAGGGAGCACAAAAATAGCTAACTTAAGGTTGCTGGGTCGCTAGCAATGACACTTCCTATGCAAGAGGGACTGCTGCTATTTGCTTTGTAAAGTGACATCAGTGGTGCTTCCTGCAAGTAGAATGTTTGTGGGTCATACAGGAAGTAGTATTAGCATGACCCAGCAACCGGAAAGAATTATTTTTTTAAGGGCAGGAAGCCAGATGCTGTGCACCAGAAGCCGGAAGTATACTCCACTTCAGGTAAACACAGGTCCACAGAGCATTCGCATTAAATGTGGACCCATGTTCTTGCAAGGCACTTGATCAACAGGTTTGCTTGTATTTCACTTGCCAGTGATCAACCCACGTATACGCTCTGTCAAGCTTTCTTTGTAAGCACTTTGGCAAGGTACTTAAATTTGCAGTTAGGGCACTATAATTGATTGCTCCCCGGGTGAGATCTATATCAAGCAACTCTCTGCTTAACAGTGCATGTGCACCATTGTTGTCCATGGCCAAGTTTGGTCTCCATTTGCTGCCTTCTCTCCTCTTCCCGAAAAGCTGACTGACAGTCACTTTCACTAACTCAAAAGTTAGCTATGGCCCCTTTGGCAAGGTACCAGAAGGCAAAAAAGATTGTCTATGGAATTGTGCCCCAAGAGAGTCAGAGCAGGCGGGAGAGGAGGAAGAGAGAAAAATGGGGTGGGGAGAGAAAAAAGTAAGTCTGCAATAAAACCAAAGGAGGCAGCTATACGTCACAAGATGCTGTCAGGCGTGAAGGACGCTATATAAATGCAAGTTGGTGTTGTTCTAAGTCAGCAACTCAAAAAGAAAAGCATGGGCTAAATGTTTCAGATTTCTTCATTGAAACACACTGTTATGTGTCTTGCAGACAAACCAGCTCCTCTCCTCTCTGTTGCAATTGGTTTCTGAAAGTGTCACACAATAATGCTGTGGTTATATATTAACTCCCTGAAGGAAGATACTTTATTAAAACCACAGTGAGTGATTTTCACATTACCGAGGAATGAAAACGCCACTCGGAAAATGCATAACTAGGAGATGAAAGTTAAAACTTCTTGGCGTTTAAACAAGTCCTGCCTCAAAATCCTAACAAAGACAGCTGGCTAGCTCACTTGAAACAGATTAGCAGCCGCAACAGACACTAACCAATGTCAGCAATGAGGCTACTGGATTGTTGTTCTAGCAGAAACTGTCGCACTCTGGGCCAAGCCTTATAGCGAATGTCATTGAAGTGAGGGGCAATCTTTTCATACACACTGTGGACATGATCCCTCTCCAAACGGCTTGCCTCTGTGTCCATGGTTGAAGGATGGATTTTGTAATGAACTTTCTGAAACTCCGCAAGCGAACTAATGGGGAGGGTTGGGGGGGAATGGGAAGAGAACAAAAAGAGTAAATTAATAAACCTATTCAGATTGAATAATCAAGTGGCATCTTGAATGTAATCTACAAGTTTATTCACAACAGTTTTTAAAGCATCCGTGTTCATTTGCTCATGAATTACACAATGAAGTACAGTTTATAGGATGTTTTTTATTATGTTGCAATTCTACAGACACCATTACGTACTTGGTGGCTAAATATAAATGTATCAAAGGAGAACATTTTGTGCAACACCAAATATTTTAGTCTCTCTGCAGTTATAATTTTCTTAGTGTGTAGTTAGGGAACATAAAATCCCTCCCTCGCCTTTAGGAATGATATTCTCTACACTATTTCAATTTGTTCTCTCCTCTGTAGAGCTGATTAATTCCGTGGTACAGTTCTGTGAATGCTAGCTGTCCTCTGGTAACTTTCCAAAATTGCTATTCTTCATAGAACCATAGAAATTTACAATATAGGAGGGGAGCATTGAACCTGGCCTGGCTTTCCAATTGAATTTGCTTACACAACAACAACAATTTGGATTTATATAGCGCCCTCGACGCCGGACGGCATCTCAGAGCGCTTCACAGTAACAAATCCTGGGACCGAGCCAGGTGGAGGGGGAGGAAGGTGACCAAAGGCGCAGTCGAAAAGAAAGGTCTTCAGTAGGGACCTGAAAGTAGGAAGAGAGGGAGCGAGACGAAGGGAGTGAGGAAGGGAATTCCAGAGCCTCGGGGCATAGTGGCTGAAAGCATGGCTGCCGAGGGTGGAGCGGAGGACTCGGGGGACAAGGAGGAGGCCAGACCCAGAGGAACGAAGGCAACTGGTACTGTTTTGAGGAGAGATGAGGTCAGAGAGGTAGGGGGGTGCAGAGGAGTGAAGCGATTTGAATACAAGGGTGAGGATCTTGAAATCGATCCTCTCTGGGATAGGCAGCCAGTGCAGTCTGGCAAGGACTGGGGTGATCGGGGAACGTAGTTGGGTGTGGGTGAGAATGCGGGCGGCAGAGTTTTGGATGATCTGGATTTTATGGATGGTGGTGGAGGGAGACCGGTGAGGAGGGCTTTAGAATAGTCCAGCCAAGAGGTGACAAAGGCATGGACTTGGGTTTCAGCGGCCTTCGGAAAGAGATATTTGCGGAGACGGGTGATGCGTCAGAGGTGGAAGAAAGCAGTGCTGGTGAGGGACTGGATGTGGGGGAGGAAGGACAATTGGGGGTCGAACCTGACGCCTAGGTTGCGTACGAGTTCGGAGAATTTTAGGGGGAGGTCGGGTAGGTGGAGGAGGTGAGAGCCGTGGGATTTGAGATGTTAACGAGAGCCAAAGAGTATGGCTTCCGTCTTGTCGACGTTCAGTTGGAAGGAAATTTGTGCTCATCCAGCCCCTGAGGTCTGACAGGCAGGCTGACAGAACATCAGGGCACTGGGGGTCGCAAAGAGAGGTGGAAAAATAGAGTTGGGTGTCGTCCGCATACATGTGGAAATGTACTCTATGTCTGCGGATGACATCCCCAAGAGGGAGCATGTAGATCAGAAAGAGGAGGCCAAGGATGGATCCACAGGTAATCACGTGAGAGCGGGAGGAGAAACTGCTTTTGCAGATGTACTGCTGGCAGTTTGTGAGGTAGGACTCGAACCAGGCGAGTGCAGTCTTACTGAGGTGGATAACAGTGGAAAGGCGGTGGAGGAGGATGGTGTGGTCGACTGTGTCGAACGCCGCAGAGAGGTCCAGGAGAACAAGAAGGCAGAGGGAGCCCTGGTCACAGAGAAAGAGAATGTCGTTTGTGACTTTCACAAGCGCAGTCTCTGTACTGTGGGCAGAAACCGGATTGCAGGGGTTCGAAGAGGGAGTGGGAAGAGAGGTGTGCGTGAAGTTGATTGGCAACAACGCGTTCTAAGACTTTAGCGAGGAAGGGCACGTTAGAAATAGGGCGGTAGTGGCTGGAGTTTGAGGGATCTAGGAAAGGTTTTTTGAGGAGGGGGATGATGACAGCAGTTTTGAGGGGGGCAGGGGCTGATTTGGAGGAGAGGGACTGGTTGATGACGTCAGCCAGTAGTGGCTAGAGGAGGGGGAGCTGGGTGACCAGCAAGTTGGTGGGGAGGGGGTCGAGGCAGCAGGTGGTGGGTTTCATGGAGGTGATGGTGGGTGAGAGGGAGGAGGGAGAGATGGGGAGGAAGGAATGTAGGATGGGGGTGGTGGTAGGAGCAGATGATGGGGAGGGTGAGGGGGACAGAGAGGGCGTGGTGGTGGGTGACAAGGGGCAGGTGGATGAGGCTGCCTGGCGGACTTTGTGAATTTTAGATGAGAAGAAGTCCATGACCTCCTCACACTTGGCATTGGATATGAAGATTGAGGAGGCCTGAGGGGGGGCAAGGAGTATGCAGTGGGTGGTGGAAAAAAGGATTTTAGGGTTGTGTTTAGCCTCCAAGGTGATGTTGGAGGAGAAGGTTGTTTTTGTGTGTGTCAAAGAACAGCGGTAGCTGTGGAGATGTTCAAGCCACAGTTGGCTGTCAGTCCAGTTTTCCGCCATCTGCACTCGAGCAGCCGGATTTGGGCTTAGTGGTTAAAGCGCTCACCTCGCAAGCGAGAGGACCTGGGTTTGATTCCCAGGCAGGGCAAAAGGTTTGGTGAGTTTCCTTAGTTCACATGCTTCTGTTTGCCTAGCAGTAAGAAGGAACCCGGTTGTTAGTTGATTGATAGATCGCTTTTTCAAAGAAATATGTAATTGTATATAGTGAATGTATAGTCTGCCTTAGTTTTCTGGAACTCCATCTTGAAGACACACTGACTTACATCTCGGAAGTGAGAACCTAGCGGGTTTATAATAATAATAATCCTTGCATTTGATATAGCGCCTTATCATGTTGAGACATCTCAAAGTGGTTCACGGAATAAACTGTGAAGTGAATTGACTGTATATTTTGTGGACAAAATATTACAATATTATCTCCCTCTATACTATTATATTATCCCCTCCGCCTATGAGGCAACAAATTATAAATTAACATTTGTATATTGCCTTCTGTTAGGAGGATGTCCTAAGGTTACTGTTGCTCCAACTGAATTGGATTGTTCCTGTGACGTTCCAGGTCAGTTTGACACTCGGTAGTGGACACTTTAATTTTGAAACATTAAAAAAACGAATCTGCTAACAACCTTTTTTCAATTGGAAACATCAAAATATTTGCTCAACGTTTACCGCTCGTCAATTATGCCCCACGTATAATTTTAAACTATAATAATTAAATTCTCTGATTAGTCTAACCATCTTTTCAGATGACTAAACTTTTGCTACTCTGCAGTAATTACTGAGATTAAAAAGATAAGAAAAAAAAGCTGTGAATCAGATAATGAAGCTCTCTGAACCACAGGAAAGTGTTGAAAATTATGAGCCAGAGGCATTACAATGATTGTTGCTTCAATCTACTGCTCCAGAGAGTCGGAAAATAAGTTTACGCCATTATCCAGCTGCACTAAATTCAAATACTTAAGACAGAAAGACACCTTGCCTTACATTCTCCCGAGTAATTTTATGAATGCTAAAGAGTGAGATGGATTCTAATCCAGAACCTGCTAGTCACAAATTTAGTACTCAACTGACTGAACTGCTAAGGATGTCAGTGTCCAACATTTTTCCAAGCTAGTAACTATCCTTCTGAGGGAAAAGAGTTGTAAGCAAGGCTGAGCTGGCTCCAAGGTGACATGCTTGGCAACAAATATTAGAATTGAGTCTACCCTCTGTGGCGGTCGTGGTAGTCCAGTTCCCAAGCGAAACAGACCCACAGTACTCCAAGGTATTGCTGATGTAAGACCAGCCAGCCTGGCTGGTTGGCGGAACTTGAAGAGGCAGAAATGTCACTGGAGGCGGGGATTCTTTCCACTCATATCATCTCCGGTTAATCATGTAAACCAAAGCCCTAACAGATCGGATAATCCTAGCTAGACAAACATTGGGAAGCTTGTTTAGAATGGTAAAATATGTATTTTTAGGAGATTAAACTCCACCAATGCAGACTCTGGGGTTGACAACCTGCCTCAAATATTTTCTGGAATTAGATTAGCAAGGTGCAATTCTCCAGGTAGAGAGTACGCATCCCAACAGCAACAACAACATGTACTTATATAGCGCTCTCCACACAGGGTAGCATCTCAGAGTGCTTAAAAGTGGTGGGGCATGACTCCGAGCTGAGGTGGGGGGGAGGTGGCCGTAAACACGGCCAAAGAGGAAGGTTTTCAGGCGGGACTTGAACGAGGGGAGAGAGGAGGCAAGGCGGAGGGATTGAGGGAGAGTGTTCCAGAGTTTCTGGGTGTAGTGGCTGAAAGAGCGAACTCCGATGGTGGGGTGGAGGGTGTGAGGGACGAGCAGGAGGCCAGTGCCAGTCAAGTGGAGGCCCTGGGTGGTGGATTGGGGAGTGAAGAGGTCAGAGAGGTAGGGAAGTGCCAGAGTGAAGGGATTTTTGTGAGAATCTGAAGTTGATCTGTTTGGTGATGAGGAGCCAGTGGAGTCTGGCCGGAACTGGTGAGATGTAGGTACAGAATTTGGTCCGGGTCAGTATGCAGGTGGCAGAGTTCTGATGGAGCTGGATCTTTTGAATAGTGGAGCTGGAGAGACCAGCGAGGAGTGCGTTTGAGTAATCCAGGTGGGAGGTAACAAACACATACAGGAGGGTTTCGGGCAATATGGCGGAGGTGAAGGAAGGCGGTCCTGGTCAGGGACCAGATGTGGGGGAGGAAGGACAGCTGGGGGTCGAACCGGAAGCCTAGGTTGTGCACTGATTTGTGAGTCTGAGGGAGAGCCCAGGGAGGTTGAGGAGTTTAGATCTGCAGGAGTGAAGTCGTTGAAGGGAGCCAAAGAGTATGGCTTCCGTCTTGTCCATATTCAGCTGCAGGGAGTTTACACTCATCCAGGCCTTGATGTCTGCCAGACAAGCTGATAGAACATGGGCGGCCCTGGAGTCAATACTGGAGGAGCCAAAGTAGATTT